AAACCAGGTGCAGATGTTTGCCGTCAGGACGCTCTCGATGGTGCAGCAGTAGCATTATTATATAAATTATATATTTTAATAATGTATATACTCTTATGGTTTTCTGCACTGATGACTTTGATAGGATTGAATCACTAAGATTGTGAACTTTCAGATGTCAGATGATCAAAATGTTTTTTTTTTCAATTAAGCTATTAAACTATTGCTACTGCCTCAGATTCTATTCAGTTACAATTCATTTGTTGTTTTTTTATCAATTCATTGTGCATGTTTTCAGATGTAATCAAATTTTAAAGCGAAACAATGAATAGACATTACTTTTTTGAAACCAGGTCATTTATATTTCTTTGAAATCATGTTCGGATGGTGAGCAGTGGAGCCATAAAGTTGTGCACCGTCCAGACCTGTAGCCACCTTCCTGTCTCTGGCCTGGAAAGATAGAAACATACACATATCCACTTTTTTTCTTTTTCTTTTAGCATGTCCTGTTTGGTTCAAAAAGAAAGCAATACAATAAACGCAACACCATTGCAATAACCTATAACGTGTAATGATAATGGATTGGATTTATATAGCGCTTTTCAAGGCACCCAAAGCGCTTTACAATGCCACTATTCATTCACTCTCACATTCACTGACTGAGAGAAGCGAGGCTGCCATATCGCGCCATCGGTCCCTCGGGCCAACACCAGTTGGAATGTTGTTGCACAGCACACAAGACCAACAGCACACAATGTGTTTTGAGGAAGCAGCCAAGAAAGATATAGTTTGTGTCTGTGAGCACCCATGTGTACACCTGTGTGGATGAGCGCGCTTGTATTCAAAAGGTTTCACCATCAAGGATGTGGGGGTCCATAGCCCCGTCTCCCAGGGCATGAAGCAGGCATAGAGGAGACCCAAGCCCCAGACATCCAGAGGTCCGCAAAGCGCGAGAGCCCAAGGAGGACCATGAGAGGGGCAGCTTCCTGTCGGAGAGCAGCAGGTGTCAGCACGGCCCCTCCCGAGAACCCTCAATATCTACATGCATTTAAAATTGAGAGGTGGGCGCCGGCGCCAGAGGTGAGGTTGAATACACAGACCGTCCTCTGGATGCCGTATAGCATGTCCATGGAAACTCAAAACATCAGATGTCAAGCAAAATCCTCTCATAGTCCCCTAAAAATAAGATTCTTGTCTGTTTTCTTTAAATTGTGTAGCTTATATGTACGGTCTCAGTAAAGCTACTTTTGTGCACTGTCCATAACACTCTCTTACACTCAGCCACTTTAATGTCATCTGACAATTTCTGTGTTCCTTTCGCTACAGTTAGTTACGCATATTTTCTGGAAATATTAACAAACAACACACTTAAATTGTTGTTTTAAGAACAACAATGCTTGAGATTTATAAAGCCCTTAAGAGAATGATAGTCAGTGAGGTGAGGGACTTGCATGGGTGGCCATTCAAAGACTGGACTCAAAATGAGTTTCTAGGTAAAGAACTCCTTTCAGGGAACCTCACCTACGTTTCTTTTTTGCTATTAGAAGCAGTTTACAATACAGAAAAAAGAAAACAAACAGGTGTAATTGTGAAACTAAAAAAGTTGTTAAACAAAACTGCAGATCTTGTGATTTCCCTGAGCTCTACAAACTAAAAATTCTGTTAAAATTTCAAACAATGAGCAACATAATTTCCATCCAGGGAATTATTTGATCAGTTTATCAGTGTAGCTTTAAAAATGGCAACATATTACCCACAATATGCCTCATTGCAGCAGCGATACAAAGAGCAGAGACTGAAGTTAGAGCTTATCGCTCTAACAAAAACAAATATCACAAGCTAAAGGAAAAGTGGAAATTTATAGATTTTTAGTCACACTGAAGTGTTTTACTTTGACTTTTTTTTTGTAAAATAGTCTTTTAGCTTCTAGTTCTGATAGTTTACCAAAATATGATGTATGGAGAAAACACTTACAGTTCTGCTTTTAAAATGACTCATAAGCAACAAACTAAGTAAAAAAAAGAAGGTTAGTTCAAAGACTGCTTCAAGACTTGCACAAGATTATTTGCCGTTAGCAGGTTGTTAATGCTATCCATCAAGTCTAACAGTCTGCAGTCTATGAACTAACCTCGGCTAACGCCAGCTAGCAATATTAGCTTGGTGGCAAGTAGCCTTCAGTAATAGTAACAAACACAGCAATAGTACATCGAAGATACTGAAGTGGCATATAACCCAGGTAGCTGCCACAACTAAAACAAGGTAGATGCAGTAGGCTAACATTAGTTTTTTAAAAATAACTAACTTCCAGATGTTTCTTTAGGTTAGAGGTGGAATCTTTTGACACTGAGAGCAGCTTAGTTGCTGGCAAACAGAGTTTGTGTTGCATGGTCAGATTTTGCCCATCCCTTTATTCTTTAAATGTGAAGTGCTGTTGGAATTTCCACGTAAGAAATGCATTCCTGCCCATGCACTGCTGGCTCTGTTGTGCTGGCTCCGGGTCCATTGTGTAACTGACGCTACCAAAATTAACAGGACGCTTACATTAGACCCTCTTATTGTGTGTTTTGTTTGGGTTTCCAGCAATACGTTGAATTACCAAAATTTGAGAGAGGGGATAGCCTAACATATGAAACAGGAAATGACCACCATGTAATCAATTTATTTCAACAAAGTAACTGTATTCTAATTATTACCTTTTTAAACTTTTTAAACACTGGACACTATGAGACAAGGTGGAAGCAATACTAAATACAATGAACACAGGACAAGGGACTGTCAAAATAAAACAGGAAAGACACAAATATGGAGATGCAAGCTTAACATTGAGTCTGGGGAAGAAACTGTCATTCTGACTGGGGAGACAGAGAGGGAACATAGAACACAAGAGTAACTAGATGTGGAACACTGGGAAACCATAGTGACAGAAAACTAAAGACTAGAAACTATAAATATAACGTAAGCAGAAAACAGCTAAGAACCAGAACCATGAATGACACTAAATCAAAGAATATTAATCACACCAGAAAACACATAAACACTGA